TTTTCCAAATTGCAGCTCCTTCAAAGATTTCTGAAGACTCAACGGTTAAAATTACAGTTTCTATCACAGATCCAGCTGGTCAAACTGCTACCTCTTTATATTAATATAATATTTATTTTGATATATTTTTTAGTTTAACTTTTTTTCTTTGATAAATATTTTATTTTATATTTTAAACCCTTTATTTTTTAATTAAATCATGTCTTGTAAATCAAATTACAACATGGCAAACTTTTGATTCGATATATATAGTTTACGTAACAAGTGATAGCTCCATTAGAAAGCTGAGTTTTGAAAATTACAATACATAGCATATCATTTCCAGACTTTCCCACTTTATTTTTTTTTTATTTTTTTTTAAAATGTTTCGTAATTTCAGGATGCTTTTCCCCTTTAACTTTGTTAAATGCGTAATTTTTTTCTATCTGACAACTGGCTTGAAAGATCATTGAAAATGCGATATAAACAATTTCATTTTTTTTCGACTTTTTTTTATAAATAAAGAAAATAAATATACAAATAAAATTATTTCTTAATTATTTTGTCATATTTGACAATTATATCCTGTCTCAAAGTATCCAAATCCGCAAACTGTGTTGCGTATCTCGAAGTGTCTTCGTCGTACGGCTTAATTACATCAGCCCTATCCAAGAACATCATCAAATGAAACGCGAGAGCTTTGTATTTTATCTGCATCAAAATTGCCAAAGCAGGATGGAAATCTCTTATTGATATGAACAGCAACAAAGCGTTCATTGCATTTCCAGTATCCAAGAAGTGGTGGGCGGCTCTTCTCAACAAACTCTTCGACTCATTCGAAAACTCTTCCAATTTGCAGACTTCGACAGAATCTTCCCATCTTCCGTTGTCCTGAAGATATCTTGCGGCAGAAAGATTAGCGCCAGCTAAATGCATCAATATACAGCCTTCTATAAATCTGTGCTGTGCAAAAAGTGGAACAGCGGTTGTTATCAAAAATTCTGTCACGTTTTGTGGCAAAATTTTATCTTCGTAACCGAGAAGCAACGCCGAACAAATGCTTGCCACTATTGTGAACTCGCTTTTGTTGGAGAGACTCTTGAAAACTTCGACAGCTCCTCTTCTATCACCCATTCTGAACTTGAACAACAAGTTGAAAATGGCAGAAATCGGAGTATCTGCAGGAGAAAACAGAGAAGATTGAATCCTCAACGCGGAAACAACTTCTTCTTTCCCTCCAAACATGGAATGCGTGCTTGCAACCTCGGACCTCCCAAACTACGTGAAACACACTTCCAAATAATGGAATCAGTTGGAAATCCATGGTCATTAGCTATCTCAGCTATTTGAAGTGCTTCTGACCATGTTCCTGTAGTAGGATTCGTTAATAATTGCTCACCCATAAGCTCTAACCGTTGCTGGGCGGTTTTTAGCGGTTTTAAGAGGGCAGGTGAAGTGATTCTTTTTACAGATCTCCAGTCTCTTGCAATAACGAATTTCACGGCTTCGTCATTGAGCGGGGAGACGAGGACGAGTCCATTTCCTGTTACAGCGAATGAGGAAACAGAAAAAGGACAACTTTCCACTTTTTCAAGTGAAAAACCAAATTTTCCGTCTCTCGCGTGTACGTACAATCCGCTGGATGATCTCTCGAACTCTATCCTGTCTATGTCGATGAAAGGAGAGTATGTTTGCTTCGATGTACCGAAAGCAAAGTCGTAAAACATAATTACGCCGTCTGTGTCAGCAGTTATGATGCAATCGCCTTTCCAAGCAAGACAAGTTGTCCTGGAGTTCTCCCGTGAGTTACGCAGCCTCAGAACAGGCATCTGTGCTATGCCGTTCTTGTATGTGTAGACTTGGATTTCTCCGGTAGATAATAATACGGCGAAATTGGGAGTATCGCCTTGGAAACATGTTGCTGGTATTCTGGATACTTGGACTGCAACAGCGGTGATGGATGTTTGAAGAGTCATCGGCTTTTGTTTGACATCATAAAAAATACCAAGGTCGTATTTGCCGTGGACGAAAACGCCGAGCTCCTCTGAACATATTAGGTCTGTGGCAGGGCCAAGGCGAGTGTGGATTGGAATAACTTGGCGCTTGGGAAGATTTATTGATCCACACTCGGTTTTTGAGTACCACAGAAGGACATCTTTGGTAAGGAACTTGATCTTTTCAATGGATGTGCTGGATGCAAGGTAGTTCTGTGTGTATTTCCCTTCTGAAACGTCTGCGAAAATTATCTTTCCGGTTGGAGTGCCGAAAGCAAGGATTCCGTCGTAGAAATCGTAACAGGTTGGTATCTGTGGTATAATTTGAGACTGCGCGATGACGTAAGGTATATCATCTTTTATGGCAAACATAACTAAGCCATTTGATGGAGAGAACGCGATGTATCGCTCGGGAAGTGCACGGTTACATGCAGCGGATAGTGGTAAATACTTCGATTTTAAGTCAAACAGCTCTCTTTTCAATTTTATTGTTCCTGATTTTGTAAAAATGTAGTCTTCGTTACAGATATAGATACTGAGTGACGAGTCTTGACCATAAACTGTAATTTCGTTGTCATTTGTTAAAGAAGGAAGCAGTTTATGGAAAGATGATTGGGATGATTCATCGATTACAAGATTTCGGCCAGATTTGGTCGCTATGTTAAACGTAAGTATTTTTCCTTCAAGCATAATTAATAAAATATTACTAATATGGGGATGATGTTGAATTTCTACGATTTTTTCTGATTTATCTAAAGTATGGGATTGAGATTGAGATGTTGGAGCCTGCTTGGCATTCTTTGACGTGATAATTGTAAAGGATGGACCATTAGAATATAGAATTGCAGTGAATATATCTGAACTATTAACAGCCATCCTTGTATATGTACCAGGAACATCTATCTTCCAAAGTATTCGTGAGTTTTTCGCTTGATCTTCAGCTTCATACGGCCAAAAATCGATACTATAAATTGTATTTGGTTCTGCAAAGCCTAAAACGATTTTACGGGACCATTGAAGCTCCGATACATACTGAGCTTCAGATACTTGACGAGTGATTCCGAGTGTAAGACCTGATTCACAATCCCATAACAAAACTCTTCCGCAATCGTCTGAAATTGCAAGATAAGGTAGCTCATAGTGGAATTTAAGGCAAGTTATGTTAGAATTTAGAATTTCAATGGATCATAAGAAAGAAATATCATTTTTAGTAGTTTTATAGAGATAAATTGTGCCTTTACCGGCTAATGCAAGTAGCCCACATGCTTCCCAGTCCATGCTCCCTGTGTTGAACACTTTACTAGGTGGACAAAGTGAAGCAAATCGTATCTTAGCTTTATTAAAAGGATTCGCTTGCATTTTTTTTATAAATTGATATCGTCAAAAATTTTAATTCTACAATGTTTTAAATATATTAATATTTAGTTGTACAGAATCAAATCACATCTACTTGAAAAAAAAAAGGTAGTGGGGCTTCCAGGCGCGTTGCGCCCTCTAGCCCCGAAGATGTTTAGTATAAAACCGCTTTTTAACTTCACTTAAAATGCCACGTAAGCTACGTAAGAATATACGTAAGAGGAAGGGAGCATTGAAACATCCAATAGTAAAACTGACACCACAACAACAGTTGCAACAACAAATGCTGAATGACCCCACTATGTTGCAACAAATGTCAAGCAACCCTATGCTTTTAAACCGAGTTATTGGTGCACAGAGTGGAGGTTTAAGAGCGGCACTTTTAGCGAAAATGGCAGGCTATGGTGGAGCTGCAGACGGAACAGCTTATAACCCTCAAAGTCAAATGAATTTGAGTTCACTCAAAAATCAAATAACAGATGTCAAAAAGTCAAACATAGACATACAGAAACAAATAAGTGAAAACGAAAAGAAACTAGAATATGACAGACACACAAAGAAACTCAATGAGTTAAACGTAGAGAAAAAGAAGAAAGAAGAACAACTGAAAGAACTAAGTACAGAGGAATATGCGAAAAAAGTGTCAGAAAAAGCAGCAGAAGTAGCAAAAATGGAACAAGATGTTATAAATTTGAAAAACCATACTACTCAATATAAAGTACTGAAAGATGAAGAAATAAAACAAAAAGCCCTGAAGACATATATGGATAGCGATGAGTATAAAAAAGAAGTTGAAGCAAATGTAAAGGCAGAAAAACTTTTACAGTTGCAAAACCAAACCGTACAGTATGAAAACTTAGCACAAGAAAGTAAAAATAACGACGCAGCCATGCAAAAGGCAATGAAAAGCGCAGAATATATAAAAGCTAATAATGACTGGTTAGACGCCCAAGCCAACGCTAAAGCAGCCCAACTTATAGGGTCAATAAGGACAAAAATACAAGCGGATGAAGACAGTTCAAATGAAGCTTTAACGAATGCTGACTTTAAGAACGCCTTCGAAGCTCTTCATAGTAAGGTGAAACTAGTGAACGACTTCTCATCTGGAAAGAAACTGAAGTCTGAAGGTTTCGACAAAGAGTTAAAAGAAGTAGCACAAAATATGACGAAAATAACAGATGCAGCAACGAGACAGGCAGTTCAAAGTGCCCATGACGCCGTTAGAACAGCTGTTGTGGAAAGTCAAGAAAAAGAGTTACAACAGACCAAAAGAGACCTAGTAAATGCTTTCTTAAGAACGAAAAGTCAGGTAGGACATTATGCTGCAGATGGAACATATGTGCCAGCTGGTGGAACTTATATACCAGCTGGTGGAACTTATATACTAGCTAGTGGAACTTATATACCACCAAACCCTCCAAGAGAAGCACCTGCACCAGGACTACCTAAAACATTTACATCGTCACATGGACACAGACACAGGCATGCACCAAAACCAACACAACAACCAACAGTTCAAAATCCAGCACCACAACAACAACAACCAGCACAACAACCACCTCCACAACCAGCACAGCAACCAACAGTTCAAAACCCTGCACAACAACCACCTCCACAACCAGCACAGCAACCAACAGTTCAAAACCCTGCACAACAACCACCTCCACAACCAGCACAACAACCACAAACAGAGCAAGGACATAAAAGAAGTAGAGAACAAGGAAACCAAGATTTCTTAAAAATGCTTAAGGAAGAATATGGTTACCCAGATACTCTTGACTTTAGTGACAGATATAAAGAAGCTATTAGAAAGTTCAAGGAAGGAAATACAGACCCGAACCTATTTAGCTTTATGGTTCAGCACCAAATGGGATATAATTTCAAACCTGGAAAATACAAGCTCGCTAAGGGATATGATTTAATAGCATATCATCCAAATGACATGAACGAATTTACTCCGAGATATTTGGTGTCAGAGCTAAATGACAATTCAACTCTCTTCATGAAACGCGTAAAAAATAGAGACGGAACGAAAGAAGAAAGGTTTATGAGTCCGGATGACTTAGATAGGGAACTTTTTAAAAACGGTCTCGGAATATATGAAATGCCAGCAGATGAGGTACAAGAAACTCAACAGGAAGAAGTTCAGATACAACCAGACATGGAAGAAATAGTTCAGCAACAACAGCTAGAAGAGCCTGAAGGAAACGAACAAGTCCCTCCTTTGGAAACTAACCTCACAGAACTAGATGAAGATTTGGAACAGCCGAAAAATCTTGACCCTCAACAAGAGTATGAGGTGAATATGGAATCTTTCCAAGAGTCTAAAAAAAATTCGGCTGACATAGTAGAAGAATATCGAAAAATGTTTGCCGACATACAAAAGACTCCAACATCAGATGAAAATATTCAGCATAGAATGGAAGTACTGAAAGATAATGTACGCAAATACAACAATCCTTTTTACTTACGACCATATAACGTTCAATCTTTGGCTGAACTCGGTGAAAATAAAAGGTTAAATTTCAACAAAACATATAGAAATGAAACATTGTTTAAAGTTCATTCAGAACCTAACCAATATGGAAACAAACCTACTTTTGTTTCTGCAGACTATGGAACTACAATGAGATGGGGTCATAAAGCTAATCCGGATAGGTGGTTCATAAACTTACAACCACAATTCCAAGAAGTTGTAGACGCAATGGAAGTGAATGGTGAACCAGATATAGCTGGTATTTTCAGCGCGGCTTTAATGCCATTGAAAGATATGAAAGATGCAGATATTTTGAACCAGTATGAAATGAACATGGCTGATGGAAATATAACACCTGACGTTCTAAAACATTTATCTCAAAGAACTACACAGAACCATAGAGATGGTATATTTGGTGAAGAGTTTAGAAAGACAGTTAGGGAGAGAGAAGGAAGAGAACCTATTGTACATGACCTTGCAAACGAAAGTTTACAAAATGTCATAAAAACTTACTTTGCAGACAATGAACCGAGAAGGGATGAATATTTAAGAAAACTCAAATGGACAGTACCAAATGAAATGTTAGTATTGAAAAACATGTTCCTTGACAAAATAAAACCAACTACAGAAATAAATGACGAAAGACTGAAACATTGGGTAAAAGCTTTCCCATTCACAAAAGATATTATTGGTAACATGGAAAGAAAACCAGAATGGCTACAAAAACATATATTTGGAAACGAGCTTATTCCATATGGACAAGCTCTGTTTGAAGAGCTTGAACCGGAAACTCAGGAAAGAGTCATGCAAACAATACGCGAAGACTCAAATACAAACTATGACAAAATCTTTCTAGGATATAGGTTACCTGAGATGGGCGACCAGAGCCCAAAGGCAAAAAGGACATGGGAAATTTACAACATACTAGGTGAACATGAGGCAAAGATGCAACAACTTGAAGCAGAGGGCAAGTTACCAAAAGCGACACCAAAGAAGAAGAGAAGAGTAGAACAAAGTGAAAGTAGTGAAGAAGTAACTTCATCTAGTGAAAGTAGTGGCAATGAAGGAAAAAGAAGAGTTAAAAACTCAGTCAGGAAGAAAGTAAAGCTTGGTCCGAGTGGGTTCTATTATGACATATAAATCCAACTATTCTATATTTTTACCCATATGAAATGTACGCCGCTCAGAATATAACGCCAACAGTTTTGGATGCCATGAATGGAAATGTTTCCGAATGGTATAACGAATGCGACAATGCCATTAGAAGGTCAGAAATAGTTCCTGGAACTTACGAATATACAACTGCTGTTTCTTATGGAAACGTAGGTGAGTTTGGAGAAGGTTCTTCAACAACAGTAGATATTGCTTGCGACAGGTTTCATATTATTTCTATTGACAACTCTTTCTTATACGTGGAACAAGACATTGAAATAAAACCTTCTGCCAAGTTGTCTGAAAAGAAAGGTTGCAATGGAATTTTCTATGTCGGATACCAATATGCTCCAGAAGTTTTCATGGGATATAAGATATATTCTAACTCTGACTTAGTTCAAACAGTAACATGGGCAAACTATGAATGGTTCGCTTTAAGAAACTCAGTACAACCACAAGCTAGAGAACAAACAGACCAGTATGCAACTATTGAGAAAATAAGAAGACTTGACCCTAACGTTCCAGGAGTTTATGTTAACCTTTCTGGTTCAGATGGAACTGCTGCCACTAAAGTAAAACTGAAACTTAGAGTTCCTTTGTCATCTTTCCTCATCTTCAGGTTTTTAAGATACTTGCCAAACTGGGCAGGAAAAATTTCTATCGAACTTACTCCAAGCAAAAATAACTTAGTCATTGCACCAACACAAGACCCATTCACTCTTACAGACGTAAAGGGAACAAATAAAACGTCATTCGCCGAATTTTGCAAAGACAAAGTTGACTTAGACTTTGGTTTCTCAAACCTCAACACTGAAGTAAACTATTATTTCAATGCTGCTGGAGATGCTTGGGACCCAGTTAAGTTCACATGCGAAAAATTTGAATGCAAGAGAATAGAAAGCAGACTTGCAGTCTATATGTTGGACCCAGATATTTCAAATGCTTTAGCTGCCAAATATATTGCAGTTCCACTTATGTTCCCTATACACCAAATATCTGTCAAAGACTTTGCAGGTGAAGTTGGAAACCAAAGTGCTGACCCAGGTGCAAGAACAGATATTGCCTTAACAACTGCAATGAAACATGCAGATACTATGTTTGTTCTTTTCAGACGAACTATAAATGACTATTCTTGTTTCTACAACCCTGGTATTAAATATCATATAAACATAGATGGCAAATATTATCCAAGAGAAGAATATTCTACAGTTGAGGATATGAGGTCATACAACTTGACATTAGATGCTATGAACTTTAACAACAACTTCACAACAACCATTAACCCTGAAATGCAAAGTTCTATTATGCCATATGTGAAAGTATGGACCCATACAGGAGGTCAAAAAACTCAATATACAAATGGAGACCGTTCAAACTTTTGGCTTGGCATTCCATTTGCTGACTCAGAAGACTTTATGGGTGGTATTTCAACTGTTGGTACAGTTCAAATACAATATACTGGTGACAGAGACGGTCCAGATGAATTGAAAGCAAAGAAGTTTACAAAACCAATAGCACTTTTCACGGAAGATGCTCTTTTGAAAATTCGTTCGATGAAACCTGCTGGGGCTCCTCAGATTGGCATAACGACAGCTTCCATCGAGCAGATTTTGGCAGCAGGTCAGTAAGTTGTTCTTGAACTGACTTCTCTCCGTCAAATATTGACAGTACGCCAGTTTTGACATAATATTGTATTATAAACTTTCCTTTAGAAATATCTGTAAGTTTTGAAGTTATATTTTTGTCTGCTTCAAGAACTTTCACCATTTCAGTTATACCAACTTTCTTTGCTTTATGAAAATATTTAGGTTCAGCAAAGACTGCTATTCTATAACATTTTCCATTGTTTGTGTAAAGAACTATTCTGTCAATGTATTTGTATTGTTTGTGTGTGTAAACTTTGTTTTGCTTCAATTCGAAGAGATATCTGAATACGTCCATCTTTTTATTCTAAGTAAAATGTCATTTCCGAAAAATAGAAGTGTAAGTGTTTCAAAAGGTTTAATGGCGGTGGCAGATGTGAAGTTAAATTCACCAACTCAAACAAACAGTCAAAGTGTTGTTGTCAATGTCAAAGACAGAGATGTTGAAGTGGGGAAACCATACGAAGACGAAGATGGTATAACAATAGTTCCTGTAAAAGAACAACCAACATATCCTGAAGTTAGCAGAGACTTAAGTTCTGTTGCAGATATTCGAAACGACTACCAACAACTGAAAGACAAACTTAAAACTCAGGAGAAGATTTGTCAAGCTTTAAGTATAATGTTAAACTTGGTCGAACACAACCCTGTAAAAGTGAACTCATATGTCATTGCACCTCATGAAGTTTTGAAAGAACTATTGAAACTTTTGACAGAGGCAGACGATATAAACATCAAAGAAATAGAACCCGACATTAGTTGCTGTGGTGTTTCATATAATGTCATTGACAAGATATACGTTATGAAAGGAGGTGAAACGTTGAACTTAAAATATAGTTTCCCAGACGTTATAAAAATATTTGACGACCACAACATTTCATTAAAATTTATTTGCTAAGTAAATGGCAGAAGACATAATGGTTTATACTATTACGACTAAAAACCCTGAGTCATATAATTCTATAACAACAAACTTACAAAGTCCTCAAGGACGATATTGTAAACTAACCTTAAACACAATGACGACTAAAGCCTGTTTTGCTCTTTTGACACCAGAAGACTTTATTGTTGTGAATGGTAAAAAATACTCCTT